ACCGAGGATTGTTGCCAGCTGAATAGGTTGCGGTTACATGTGAACTCTCATTGGGCCAGCGTCTCGCCAGAGAGGAGACTCGTGTCCATCGATGGATGCAGCTATATTCTGGAGGTTCATTGAGTTGCACGTTCTACGTGTGTGGCAGTTAGCCGCCTAGGTGGCAGGGTCCTGATATTAGCATAGTTATAAGGTGTGTCATGTTACTAACTTACTCACTTGTATGGACATTGTTGACTGAGAATAAATGATTTTTTATTATTTAATACACTAAGAAATAAATCTTCGATCCGGCTGGATTCACACCAATGTCTTCCAGCAGTAATAATAATAATTGTATATTTTCTCAACACAAGTAAAATAATGTACACTTATTTTATAATAGACTAACAATTTTTAATGTCGTGTCACTTGTGAGAGACTGGAGGCAGTACTAGGCAAGTAAACCTGTATTACAGCTCACCAGGCCCTCACCCTCTCATAGTAGTCTTAAGTAAAGTCAATAATCTTAAAAGAAAAAACCAATATACTGTTTATTATGCTAAAAGTACGTGTTAATGTGTGTAAGTTGACTGTACGTACGAGTTTTTCTATGTAACAAGCACATAGATCTTCGTTTTTGGTTTTTAACGACTTTTTTGCCGTACCGCCATCAGTGATAAATCTGTGAAAGCTTTTCTTCACTCAGCCAGGTACCTTTACAGCTACCAGGAGCTGACAAGAGACGTCGCTTTAAATATTGTAATTTTTAAGTTTACTGAAGGTCACGATTTTTTACCACCATGATATTCAATTAATTTTTGTGAAATGAATCCATTAGTATGTAAAAATTATTAGGTAATTCCTTCGATCAGGCTGGATTCGAACCAACGTCTTCGAGCAAACCGTGCAAGACGCGTTGCCAACTAAGCCACGGAACGAACTAGCGGACCTTACGAGTTTTTCTATGTAACAAGCACATAGACCTTTGTTTTCGGTTTTTGACGACATTTTTACCGTAGCGCCAAATGATTATTATTTTTTTATTTAATTTCTTGTTATTGTTGATGAGAATGATGGCGGCTGGCATGAAAGTGTTTACATGAGAGGAGGGATTCACCTACTTACCACTGAGGTTCCTCAATTTCAAGTGGAAATAGAGGGAGTATTTCGAGTCCCGCTCCCCTTCAAATTGAAGCAACTATTTTGTAGTCTGGATATTTTCAATAAGGCGACGTAACAAGTCAGCATATAATCCGTTTTCGCTGTGTTTTATTTTCGTTGGAATTACATCTATATGCTAAGTTTTATTGAAACCGGTTAACAGAAAGTGGGTGGAATTCAAAAAATTTAATTTGCCACTCTTAAAGGCGGAATATGTTCTTCAATTTAATGAGACTACTGCTGAGGTACCCCCTTTTGTAACAAAACAGAATCATCGAAATCAATACAGTACATACATACACACTTAAAAAAAATACAGACGAATTGAGAACCTCCTCCTTTTTTTAAGTCGGTTAAGAATCAGAGTAAATGCTTGTATAATGACATTTCCAAAATTGCCTATAAAATAAACCGCCTTTGGTTGGCAGAGCTCAACTGAGCCACTAAAGAACAATGGTACAAGAACCACAATTACCTTGTAATTTAAAAAAAAACGCCAATCCCTTTAGATGTTTTAAACCTGCTTTTACGTTACTTGTGGTTTAAAATTGACTTCCAAATAGAGATGAAAAAATTGCTTATAAATTTTAAACGTTAAACCGTACTTTTTTTAAAACAAATAAAGAAAAATAAAAAAAAATAATGTTGAAACTTACGACATCGCTGAGAAAAAAGCGTTGAAGCTTTTTTAGGACTTTATGTTAAAAAAAGCTTGCACAACATTCTTTTGGCAGTAAAAAGTGAGAGTAGTAAAGGTTAAAGTCAAATAATTATTTATTCCATAGGTAAAAATTTTGCACTTGCAAAGTCATTTTTTAAGCTACTGCTCGTTCATTATATCGCTGGCTTCCATGAGAAGAACGAGCAAGAAACTCTAGGGATTGCTCTTTTCAAATAAACTTAAAAGCTATGGCTATAATACACTTTCAAACATAATTGTGTGGAATCATGTTGTTTTTTCATACATCTTTATCTAACACAATATATACTCTCAATTTTGTAATATGACTTTTCAATTAAAATACTTTTAATGTAAGTTTTAAACTTAGGAAATGATATATCGAGTTCTTAGGTTATCGCGATTGTTACACATAGGAAATGAAGCTATTTTTCCGGATTTAAATCGCGTATATTTGTTTTTTCAAACAAACCGACGTTTCGGGCCCTTTACAGGTCCCATGGTCACGGTTGACTTGAGTCCAAGGAATTTCTTAGGAAATGATAGTCTTAATATATGCTCCGGAATCTTATTGTAAAAAGGTTTTCAGGTTAGTAAGTTTATTTGTGAAACACGAGTTTTAATTCGTTTAGGAAGCATAGATGGCGGGACTTTACACTTGAAATTGTTGTTTACAATTAATATTATAAGCGTGCTTGTGTGTTTATATTAAAAAACAAACTTTTTAAAGTGCTTTTCGTTTAAACGCGCACCTCTACTTCCAAGGTTTAAACTAAACCACAGATTACTACAATCATGTGCAATTGAATATTGTAAAAATATGTCCAGCAATCATCGACTCACGATCGTCACAATAGTCATCTACCCACGTCTGAGAGGCTGTTTTGCCTATTATGCCCCATCCTGGCACAAAGATTCCATGGTACTGGCGTTCCATGGTTTCTATATTGCTTATATAAGTTTTTATATCGAGTCTGCTGAATGAGGACGTGGCAAGAAATAGAGAAAAGTACACAGATCTGACAAATAATAATAGAGTAGCGATAGAGAGAACGTGGAAAGCAAAGTTGGAAGTAGACAGATATGAAAGACATTCTAAAAAGGTTTAAGTGATTAGCGAAAAGAATGGGGGGCTTTTTGTAAAGCATCTGCTTAGTCCAATGGGAATCATAAGTCTGCCGGATGTAATTGAGTTTCATTGGAACACGCTCTCATGACAGCTAGGCAGTGCAATACCGGGATACGGGGATCTCGAAATACCAGAATTTGTAGTCAGGAGCCGTTTAGCGGATGAAATTATTAATACTTTGTCGTTTTGTGCAGTTACTTCCAAAATAATTCTTAAATTTACCATATTATGATATGCTTTCTTTCTTTGAATCTTAACCCCGCGTAAACTTATACTTTGCTGATATGGCCTTTTTTCTTAAACTCCATCCAAGGATCCAGCAAATACTAGGATCCCGTGGGATCAGAAACTTTCAATTCCGCAAATACCGTGACTGAGATTATTCTGCGGAATTGCATTCCCTAATGACGACTGTATAAAGTGTCAAGAGTTATATATTACTTACCATTTTCTCCGAATGGGAAGGTTTCATGTCAGATATCATTTCAACATCACCCATGTGCCTTGTCGTCAATTCGCTTTCGTCAACAAGATCTTTAACGATTTTAGTCGTAACATCTTCAAACACATAATGTATTATCACGTTTTTAGGTACTTCTCCATAATCATTATTCATACGCTCAATTTTAACCCCTCTCTTCCTTCGATCGGGGATGAATTCTTCAAAGTTGATGGTGTATTCTTCAAATTCTTCTGTTGTGTCGGTGGTATCGGTTGTAGAATATAAATTCTCTGTTGTATATTCTCCATCGATTCTGTTTATAATAGTTATATTTAATTCTGATATCGTTGGAATTCTTTTTATGGTTATATTCGCGTTCACGTAAGTATATACATCAGGCCAATATTTCGCTGAATATAGGAACGCTGATATCATGAACAGCATAACGAATAATATTAATAATACCAACAATCTTGTTATTATTTTAAGTAATTCCAAGTTTACTTTCATTTTTATTTTGTTTTTATTTATTATTTGTATTATTTAAAAATCTCCTTAAACAATGAGTGATTTAAGTTTAGTTTTTTTTTAAATTTGAAGTTTAAGTTACTTTCGGTTTATTGTTATTTTTATTTGTTGACTGCCTTGTAGCAAACAATATCAAAGCACTACTGTGGTATCTAACTACCTAAGCACCAAACAAACAAACTCGTCAGGAGGTTTCAATGGGCACATTACTTTCCCATATAAGTAGCACCTACGTGGATTACCCAATGTTATATAAGACAATAGGCAATGATGATTCCATTTATGCTTACATGTAATATTGGTGGACATTATGGATTTCTCATAAATGAAATGAATACGTGGCTTCTTATGGCGATGATATATACATCATTCAGAACCTGTCCACTTGTGCAGCCACTTATCACTGTGACTAGTAATTGGTCGCTAATGATCACAGAACAATAAAAATCGTAGAAGTGCTTACTTGGGTAGCACGTGTGCCAACAGTACACAAAGTTCCACATACTTGAGCTCAATCCGCCCGTCCGTATCCGTCATGTCAACTATCTCACACAAAACCTTGAAAACCGTAAAAAATGCTTTATTTTGTTACTTTAGAGTGTAGAAATGTTAATTTTGTCTAAGGCGATGTGTCATATCATTCTTCAATTTTCAATTTTCTGTTCATCGTAATATTTTTTTATTACAACACACGAAAGTAAACCATATACCGCTGCAATATGGTCGCTTCTTTTTTAAAGAACTAAGTAAATATCTCGTCGTCGTTCAGCTATTAATGACTAGATGGCAGCACATTGATCAAACATTTGAATATAAAATGAAAACGTCGTAACTTGCCATACAAGGTAAAGTAAAAGATAAATATAGTCTGTGCGTGTGTGTGTGTGTGTGTTTTTTTGTATGTATATTACGCGATTACTCCGGCGGCATATATTAATTATATTAGCAAAATAAGTTATTTTTAAGTTATTTATAAGTTTGATGGCAAGAAAATGAAAGCTACAAAGTAGTTGAAGAATTATTTAATAGTGCTTAATTAAATAGATTAAAATAACAACGCAACAGGTACATAACACGCGCTCATTCACGCAACAACAGACAACATAACGCTTAAAACAAACAACAGCTTACAAACAAAATAACAACAATGTTAAAAACAAGATAACAATTAGAATAAGGGTGACAAACAGATTTTGAAGAAATCTTTGAAGGAAGTTTCTATTTTAGAGCACACAAGTTCTTTTGGAAATATAACTTAAATGCCCATATTCAGTCATGAATTACGGTATACCACACACGAAATTTACTTTTGAAATATCACTATTATAAACTAAACGTTCCGTAACGTTCAATTTTCAAAAATGTTGACAGCTTTTTTGTAAGTATCATCGTGTGGCTCACCGTACTAAACAAAAACAGTAAACACATAACCCTTAGGTCTCAGGACAGAAAAGACCGGCTTTGTGATTTACAAAATACAAATTTAGATCTTGTGTGATCCTTTCTTTGTATGGATAATAGTTTCATAAACTGGCACCTTGAAAGGTACAGGTTTTTCGACTGCAACAATCACGTGCTTGTAGACCTTGAAAGGCACATCCTTGAATCTAGGGACATGAACAGTCTTCTCTACAGGGTAAGGTACAGATTTTTCGACAGGAATAGACACTTCTTTTATAATAGGAATTACTACAGCTTTAGGTACTGGAACTTGAATAGGTACGGGATGTGGTACAGGAATCAAAACAGGCTGGTGGACTTTGAACTCGACGTTCTTAGGTATGGGTACGACTATTTCTTTGTAGTGCTTGACTGGTTCCGGACTTTCTTCGTGAATGTGTTGATGGACGGGGTAAGAGTGGACTTTGAGGTCCTGTCCGCCGAAACCATGGCCGGAATCACCGCCAAATCCATGGCCAGAGTCACCAGAATCGAAGCCACTTGAACCTCCGTGGCTGCCGTAGTCAAAACCTCCAGAATAGTCGCTCGCTTGGAACTGTAGAAAGAGAAAAAAAAGTTATATATAAAAAAGGTCATTCTTATGGCTTGTTCTTTACCCTATTTAGGACATGTATTCATACTTTACAGAAATATCGTTGGTCGAAATTTCATAACCTCGAAAGTCATTTTGAGAGCTAACCTAACCGAACCAAATCGTGACTTCGCGATAAACATTCAACATATCCTGAAAGAACAACTGTTTCGTTTTCGGTGTAATGAAAATTCGAAACGTTAAACGTTAACGTGAAACGTTATTTCGGACAACGAAATTTTCGAGTATGTGATTAAGTTACTCTTTATGCGTGGTTAATTGGAAATTGGAATCTCTACAAAAATATCTATTTATAAAGAGCGATTCCAAAAGTTTCTTACTCATTCTTTTCTAGAGAGTGTGCTTCACGTCATTTGTTATCCTATGAAAAAAATCATTATAACTTTTTTATTAAAAAAAAAACGACCCCAAGTTTTATTGAAATCAGTCTGCTGAACGTGGGTGAAATCCAAAAAACCGGATTCATCTCCTAATCTGCCACTCTTAGAGGTGGAATTCTCTAATTTTAATGGGACCACTGCTGAGATTTCCCCTTTCCAACAAAAAAAGAATCATCGAAATTGCTTCACAAATGTTGCGTAACATATGCACAAAAAAAAAATACAGTCGAAATTGAGAACCTCCTCATTTGTAACAATGTACATTTGTAAATTGCAGATTGTAACAATTTTACACTCGAGATGTAATCAGCGAGACGCCTTTCTATTATAAAATACCAAAGGTAGTGTGAACGATAAAGGTGTTATATAAGCCGTCAGAGAACAAAAGATCCACAATTTCCATACGAAATCGATTACAACCTCAGCCAACGCCGTGTAATAGTGGTAAATGAGCATGAACACCATCTAAAAACGCGTTGGAGCATTTATTCCTTTCATCGTCACTTTCGCGGTCGACTTGCAGTCTATTCTGCTTTTCAAATCACCGCGCACCGATGTATAGTCGAGGTGAATATTACTTATAATACTTTTACATAACTTCCGGACCGGTTACATTGTTTGAGGTCAATTTTAACGTTCAGGAATTAGTCACATTGACTGGAGACATCACAGAGCTAAATTCCCGACAGGACCGATTCGGGAATTGTGCTTTTAAATAAGTATAGAAATATGTAAGTAATACTCGACCATATTAAAAGATGCCTGATGCGAATGGAGCTTCATACTTGACATTGGCATTTGATTTATTGGGTATTACTTATTTGATAGTAAAGCTCAAATCACAATGGGGCAGTTTTTCGCCTATAGCATATTCATCTCTATTTTCGCATTATTAAAGACAAATATGTGTTATGCAAATACGGAATCGTGCGTCAACGCGCGCCTTCGCCACCGTTGTCTTTTTGTCGTTGAATAATTTCAGTACAGAGTACTAAAAAACCGACCTCAAAAGTACGTGGAATACATATACATACATATAATTACCAAGATTTTTTGAAATCGGTTACCGGAAAGTGCTCAAACCCGGATTCATCCTCTAGCTCGCCATTATACGGTACTTGAAACAGGAGATAATAAAAATCGGTTCTCACTACTCAAAGTATATTGAGAGAGAAAGCGCCTAGGATTGGAGAGTAGCAAAATCAACCATTAAAATAATTGCTCCTAATAATAAAATTTAGGCGCTATTTATAAAAATGAATCTTCATGCGTGAACAGCCACCCTTCGAAGAGGATGATTTTCTTCAAAATTAAATGGGACCACTATTACCCTCTTTCCACCAAAAAAGAATCATGAAAATCGGTTCACAAATACCGGAGTTATCACGTAACATACATACAAAAAAACATACAGTCGAATTGAGAACCTCCTCCTTTTTTGAAGTCGGTTAAAAACAGTACGCGACGCGACGCTTCGACTCTGCGCCAGTGTGAGTTTAGCATTATTATTACGAACGGAGAACGGAAGTACATAAGTTGTGGTCTGAGTGTTCTGGGTAGCGATCCGAAGTTTCCGTTGTTCCGTTTACCGTTGTAACTGATGTCGCATAACTATCCACTACTTGAGAAGTCTTTTAGACCATAGTTCGCCACACTTAATGTAAAGTTTTTTTAACAGCAACAACGCACATACTCATCATAACCGCGGTCTAGGGAAACCCTGAGTCGCGGATGCCATGGACACACACATAGACAACAACAAATTACACCCAAACTCACGAGAGAAATAAATGTAGGCCATACAAGTATTTCTACTGGCTCGGAATTCGAACCTGGTAGCTGTTCGGCCGCGGAGGCAGTTTTCATCAGGATATTACCCATTGCGACTAAACATTTCAAGTCAAGACTCTCCCTCACTCTAACTATAAAGTCCTACGTCGTCGTCTTTCTCAGCCACGACAAAAATGTCAAATACAAAAGCAAATGCGAAAAGGGACGAAGGAAGGTGTAACTTTAATACCTCAATCAATCTTATTCCGACTTAACTCTCAGAAAATTATTCCAATATTTCTCAGGCTAAGCATTTTAAATCCAACTAAACGTAATTCTAGCAAAAGAAAATCCTTTTTTCAAACAGTCAAGCCAATTTATTAACGGTAGAAAAGAGGTTAGGTAAAAAGAAAGGTCAGTTGAGCGCGAATCGAAGTTACGCTTTGAAGGTTCTTTTACATTAAGACAAGTACGATAACTCTATACAGACGTAGCAGCGAGGCTTATGTGTGTGCACGTTCGCTGCGCGCCGTGTACGGACGCACACTTTCGCATAAACTTGCGGTGCACTCGCGTTGCTTACGAGTCATGCTTGTAGAACTTGTGAAAAAATTCGTCCAGGGAAGTACTGTCACTTTAACTATTTCTGCCGCTAAGAGGTAATGCAATTACTACTGTGTTCCGGTTTTAGAGGGTAAGGATGTTGGTGAAATTACAGGCACATAGGACTTGTTAATTCATATCACAGGGTGATGGGCGCAGTGGCAGTGCCACCAGTGGCACTTCAACGGTTATGGAGAGGCGTGTCGCTTACCAGTAGGCGCACGACTTGCTCGTCCCGTCACTTGATAACATAATAATCTCAGTACAGAGGACTACAAAAACCGACCTCAAAATTCATTCACACCCTAGTTTGCTACCCTTAGAAGTGGACTGTTTTCTTCAAATTTCAATGAGACCACTTCTGTGGTACCCTCTTTCCAACATAAAAAGAATCGTCAAAATCGGTTCACAAATTCCGGAGTTATAGCGTAACATATATATAAAAAACGTATTCCAATTGAGAATCTAAAAAAAAGAGTTTTTTGAAGTCGGCTAAAAAAGCCACGTTGCTACGTTTCTATACACTTGTTTCATTGTACTATGTAAATATACTACGTAAATAGTTTAATTATTACTTTATTAATTTTAAGACCGAAGTAACAATATTGAATAAATTATATGAATAGGTTCTGATTACTATGCAAGTAAAAAGATTTTAATAACATAGGGTAAACTATGTAAAGGTACCGATGCTCTGTTTCTCATTGTAAATAAATTTCCCTTAAGAAGAATGAGCAAGAAACTCGTTGGTCTTTGCAAAAAAACATATAAGCACATTTCTTATTTATAATATTTATTTATAATATCATCGAGACAATCTGACAGAGCTAATCGGGTCACTACTATAGGTTTTTAACAAAAAATAAAACACTCATATAACGCACTGTTAAGAAAGAGAGAGAAACCCTGTATCGCGGATGCCATGGGCATAAACATAGACAACCACAAATTTCACCCAAATTCACGACAGAATCGAACCCGGGACTTCAGCATGGTAACTGTTCGGCCACGGAAACAACCTGTGTTTCTAGATGTAATATGAATTTATGAATAACTAAAGGTTACTTAAGAAACCGGTTGGATTTACTATTTAAATATATTCAGGTGACGAAAGTGAATTTCCGAAGGTCTCTAGAACTTATGGTAAGTCAGGGCTATTTCAGCCCAAAACCGATCTATTTATACAATAATAATGTGCCTGACAACCACACCAACTACCTGGTCTTAAAGGTGGAAATTCCCAACGAAATAAAAATATAAATAAAAAATACATAATTTCGTTGAGAAAGAAGATACCCATAATATTAACCTTTGAACTAAGTCCAAACTCATGGTACCACTAATTCGTTTAACTATTGTAAACGATTATTTTATGGGGAACTGTATACGTTTTTACAATAAGATTCCGGAGCGTATGTTAAAAATACTATTTTCTAAGTTTAAAACTTACATTAAAAGTATTTTTATTGAAAAGTCATATTACAAAATTGTAGACTACGTGTTAGATAAAGATGTATGGAAAGACAACATGAGTCTAGATGCCACACAAATGTATTCTATAGCATTTAAGTTTATTTGAAAAGAGCAATCCCTAGAGTTTCTTTCTCGTTCTTCTAAAGGAAGTCAGCGTAGTGAACGAGCAGTAGCTTAAAAAATGACGTTTTCAAATGTAAATATTTCACCTATGGAATAAATGATTATTTTTGACTTTGACTTTGATCCTGTTATAGTCTCATGTTAGTTATCTATTAAAAAATTAATCTTTTGTCTATTTATCTGTCATGCCCTTCACACACTTTCCGAGGGTTGTGAATCTCAGATGTGCAAGTTTTGTCACGACGTTGTCTTTCACCGAAACTGTCCTATCAAATTTCAAATTAAAGGTGAGAACAGACGAGTGTAGTTTTGTGAGTCACATAATTGAAACGTATTTTATTTAGTTGCTTTTAAGCGTTTGTACGGGGTGTTTGAGTCGTATAGTGTACAATACCATTTATATACAATACACAATAGTGACCGCTTCTCTCACCCCTTCCTCCACCCACAACGGCAATTCAATCGCAATTACGCGCGTGAGTCGGCAGACAACTCATTATGCGTCGTCGTGTGGCATAAACCGGACTTTTATACGAAACCGAATGCAGTATATATTACCCAAATAACGTAACTAACTAAGGAACTGCCTCCGTG